AATGAAGGTCCCCCTAACAATGTTATCTCAGGAGATTCATCGAAACCAAGTTTCTCTTCGTATCTACTCTAGTCTACTTACTCAATTATGGTGAATGCTGGTGGCTGATGAACTCAAGTAGGATCCAAGCTTTAAGTCCACACCTTAAAATACCGATTTAAGATAATCTGCATATTACCCCGGATGGTCCTCATACAGATTGAGTAGATTTCGAAGACATCAGTAGATCGAGGATAATAATGCCTTATCAACACCATTTCCAGATTATATATGATTGGGAGGAGACCTGAAAATAGACTTGACTTGAAAATCTCATCTGTTCTATCACGTACCTGCATTTTAAGCGAAATGAAATTCTCCGCAATTATACTTTCCAGCGTCGGTCTGTGGACTTGATTAATTCCCAGACGCATTATTGGCATCGTCAGTGAGTCTTTTCAATCTTAGCACCAAACTAAGTGAAGCCTACCTCCGCCAACACTTTGCTGAACGATAGTAGCATCTTTCCTTCTCCCATCCTGAAACATGCACCTTTCCTATATCTTTACATCACTCCATTCCTTATCATAACTCGTAACAGCCTTATCTTCACTTACTTATTCGAGCGGATTTTGTGAGACCTATCAACATTCGTCTCTCGTTTCCTCATCCCTCTCTCGTATTTTGCTGGGAATGTTGGTACAACTGATCTAACCTGACTCAAATAAATCTGATGCACAGAAGACTGAAATAAAAGTGAATTAGCGAAAAATTTGCGTATTGATTAGGCAAATGAGGAAGAGGTCGGGAGGCAGTAAGATCAACAAAAGGAAGACGACTGATTCCGGCATATTATTTGAGCAGGAAGACAAAGAATCGCACAAAGGATGGACAATTTGCAGTAAGTCTCTTCAAACCAAGCGAATAGGCACAGCATTTGGGGGTTAGCATACCAGGGACTGGGGCATAGAAAGGTGATATATTTGGCATTCTGGTTAGAAAAGCAAAGTCATTTTGACCAGAACTCTACTCAAGAGATAAGTCAGAGACCAGAGAATAAGTATTTTATCATCGAAGTGCTCGGTTAATAAAAGGCTTGACCACGAGATTTACTCGGTTCCTAAGCCGAACTCATATAAGGGAAAGTATAGCGTTAAGCTAGTTTTTTATCCAACTTGAGAACCAAGTCTTTGAGCTACTCCTCTGCCATGCTAGAGTGTATGTGCCATTTAACGCTTGATGTAAATCGTGAAAAATAAAGCCTTAAGTAGCACGGATATGGAGTTAAATCTCAGGGCAATCAGTGAACCAAGATGATAAGTAACTGATCTTCCAGGGCAGGAAGCGGACAATTATAGAACCCGGTTGAGGTCGATTCCAGACTACATGAGGGAGGGATAAGGAAGACATCGGAGAGTGTGAATGGACCTCACTAACTCCTTTCGAAAGAGCACAACTCTGGAATTAGTGAAAATAAATATACTAGAAATTGTGATAGCGAAGGTGACTAATTGATGAGGGCTATAACAACTATTTAGCAGAGAGTTGGCCGAGAGATACACTTATCCTGTCTCCTTGACAATTTGCAGTTTGGTGCTAGGACTGGCAAAGTTCACGAAACACCTAACAATGTACCAAGTCCTTAGTCAGACTCCGGAAATTACCATGACTACTATGGCAGAGGACCCCAGACAAGGTGTGTTCATTTTGGTCACTCTGACAACGATAATAAGGTCAAACCAATCCTATCTTACTGAAGAAGATAGCGACCAAAATAGAGGCCACACCAACATTTATCTTCTTTGTCCGCTTAGAGGCCAATTTACCCATCTTCTGGTAGTTACCTAATTTAGAATCGCAGTCTTTATCATACATTATCATCTTCCTAACTTTTGGTAGTCAAAGTTAGGAAAGAAGTAAATGGCTAAAATTATGATAAAGAATAGCGTTGTTAATAAATTCTGCATCAGACTCTCTGCATAAAACATCATATATGCTTAAATAAATTGGCTTTCTATACGACCCTTTATACTTTAATGGCATGTGGGCGGAAAAAGTTAGGTGAACACAACGAACCTTAAAGAATATTTGCATGCGGTTGCAATGTTTGATTTAATGCAGAAGTCTTCGGTAGATCCTCCTCCGACCTCGATGATTCACTGATGAGTCTTCGTCATTACTGCTATGGCAGGCATTCGTGATATAGAGAAACCACACAAAACTACGAAGCATTTGTTGGGTGCGTAAAATCCATCTTACCACTGGTTTGTTTCTCTGAAGGGGTCTATCAATTTAGCGACGAAATTTGGAGAATTTCATTTGGGTTGCTTGCACTAACGTTGGACATCAAAACTAGAATACCTTTCTTCCAGATTACATTGAGATCAATCACTCTTTGAGTACACTTTCGTGCACACTTTTGATAAGAGATAAGATATATGAATCTGCACCTTTAAGAGCTTGTAACATTTTGCTAGCGGCTCGAAGGCAGATCAAAAAAGCAGGAAACGTTCACTAAGTGCTTTTTGATTTGAGACAGCATTTGTATTAGTGGGTTGGATAGCACATTGTCCAATTTTACGTGGGTTTTGACTACTCCTGGAGATTCCTCAAACGGGCAACTATGAAGTTCCCATTACACAAATGTTGACTATTCCATGTAAAAATCTAGAGGAAAATAGTATCCTTATATCTATGAGCCACACATGCCAATTCCGAGAAGACGACCAGCCCTAGAATATATATTCAAAAAAAAGTTGTGTTTCGAGGAATCTTTTGTTTCATAATTGTTGTGCTTACTTCCACTTCGAGTGAAAGGGTTTGGTGAAGATATTCGAAGGTCGATTTCACCTGAAGACGACGGCAGACAATTGGCTTTACTGGAACATTCATGCTGACGCTGTTTCCGAGGTAATCGCCTTCGATTCCAGTGAAAAGGTGCTAAGCTTTCGTCCGTCATATGACGAACATCATCGTTACAACCGAAATCAAGAAAACTTGACTCGTTAGCTTAATTTTGGTTGTGACGATGATACCTTGCTCTGATGATGTTCATCATATGACGGACGAAAGCTTAGCACATTTTCACCGGAATCGAAGAAGATTACCTCGAAAACAGCATCAACAGGAATGTTTCAGTAAAGCCAATCGACAGCTGGTCAAGAGGAATCTGCCGTCGTCTTCTGGTGGAATCGACCTTCGAATTTCTTCATTAAACACTTTCACTCAAAATGGAAGTAAGCACAACAACCCTAGAATGTCCTCGCCCTGAATAACCTATGGAACTAAACAAAAAACCAAGAAAATATGTAATATAATTATATGAAAAGAGTATTTTTTCATGAACCGCGTAGTGATGCTCTTCTATTCGAGGGTTGAAGCTCAGTTGGCTGGATCCGCTAGACAAAGGATACTCCCAAGAGAGCAGATCTTATGCAGCCTGAGTCAGACAAACTCATGGAAAGAGTCACTTTATCATCTTATTTATAAATTCGTATAGATTTATTGATATCTTGTCTTACGTATTTACAGGAGGAGACGAGTCTAAAAATAGCCACCAACTCTGCAATTGCGTAGCTTATGGAAAACTGAGGCGTGGAAGACCTGAGAAACACTGGTAACTATTAATTTTAGCGTATTACAATGACGATATTACGTGAAGTCAAACATCTTTCGTCTGTAAACACGCCATTCGATTACTTCTATTGTTGATCGGCCGGACTCAAAATGATTATAATTTGACCACTTTTCTGCCATCTTCAGCTCTCGCCTCGAGGTGTTCCAATATCTACCATTCCCTTCCTTCCGTAAGCTTCCAACCTATCAGAGAATTGTTGAAACTGCTGAAGGTGAAGCCTGCTGAGCAAGATACATTCAGGCTATAGCTAACATTTGCTTCTGTTAATTGTCCCTGAAGAAAGGAGAGGCAGAGTTCAAGCAAAATCTCTGGGATTCTGGCACAAAATGTGTGAAGGCTGGAATATATATCGCATAAGCCTACTTATAGGCCACTTTATTCTCTTTCTGATTGGCATCTCCTTCATCATAGCAGGCTGTGTCATAAATTATCAGCTTTCCAACTTCATTGGCATGATTTTAGAATTGCTACAACTCGGTGAAGACAGCCCCCTTTTGAAAGTAATGTTTGAGGTTATGCGTTCGCTCAGCCTCCAAGTGTCCATCACTTTCTGGGTGTTGGGATTTTTCATAGTTATAGTGTCCATGTTTGGAATGTACTCTGCTTACAAGCCGGAACTTGCCGTTTTTCTGGTATCCATCATGCTTCAGATGGTCCTGTTTGCTTTGCTCATTCTCGTGCTTAGGATGTACGCTAACCAGGAAAAAGCGATTGAAGCATTCGTCATGGAAAATATCAAAAAAATTCTTGTCTCCAATTATAAAATGAACTCGGATGAAGAGGATCTGACAACGAGCATGGGCTTTCAGGTTTTATGGGATGAGCTGCAGACTCGCTATAATTGCTGTGGGGTATTCTCTTACAAGGATTACGAGAACACTAGTGACTTTAACCCTTTAAACGGCATGGTGCCTTACTCCTGTTGCCTCAATGCGAGTGAAGAATGCATAGAAAACCCTCAAAACTCAAGCGATTTAATTCTGCGAGCCTGTTCGAAACCATTGTGGGACGAAATTAGGCCGAAAATAGTCATCGGCATTTATTGCATGATCCCAATTGTGGTCTATGTATTCATACTAATTATTCTATCCTTCATAGTCTGCTGCCAAACTGTCGATTTTGACGATGTAGAAGAGGAAGATGACAAGGAAGATTATTACCATTAGGGATGTAAGCACCTTTACTATCCTATGGAGTTTTGACACAAATATTGACTATGTAATGAGGCATAAATTGCATAAAATTCATATTCTTGCGACTTTTTATGATATGATAATTGACTTTAAGAAAGGATTATTTCATTTTATATGCTTGGCAAAGTAACCCCAGTAATTGCTAATAGTTCATTGAAAGCATTCTTATGCAACACCACGTATTATGCATTCGATTGTATTTCGATAGAAGCGATCCTGTGGGGATTAAAGACATCATGATTCATAGATTTCTCAACCTCGCCCCAAAGTTACGGCGGCCAAATCAGCCTTTCAGAACATGACAGGCCCCAGCCTACAGTTAGCAACACCCCATTGGTTGACTGGATGACCTAACAGTGTTAGCTTTGCCCACTGGTAACCATAAATAATTTAGACTAAAATGACTAATGGTTTCCTTGATATTACGCAAAGGCTGTTGGTAAGTAACCTTCCTCGCACGTCTGCTGACTGGCTGTCTTAAGTGGGTAGAAAACTGGGATATAAAATAACCTCGCCATCAGTTTATGGCATTTCTTCCCAAGGATACAGCTATAATAATTGATGCATGCATACATAATAACTACTCTTACTAATTTCGTTAATAAGTATAGTATATGTAACAGCACCCTAATGATAATGCTATAGTTAGTTTAACTGCAAATTTCTGCTGTTACAACAGCATAGAAACGGCAGGAATAGA